TTCTTTTTTTTTTTTTGAAAAACACAGATAAATCTGAAATCCTGGAAAATCGTCGGACGTGTTGCGTCCAGCAAGGGGGCGCGTTGTGTAGGCAACTAGTAGGTTTCTTTATTTTCTTCAACTTTTACCATATTTGTGCAATACAAGTAAAACCTATTAGGCTCTGATACCACTTTTGGGTTTTATTAGCATCAATAAACATCAAGAAGGTAGTGGACTAATCTAGAGATTTACCTAAGTATACATGCACCCTAGATCTAGGTTTTACTAGTTTTAGCAACATACTTTTAAAAACAACAAAGAAAAACATACTAACCACTTGGCTTCTTGCTTTAGATCTTGTGATTGCTAGTTGCTTGAGATCTTGTGTTTTAGTAACATACTTTGAAAAACAACAAAGAAAAATGTACTAACCGCTTGGCTTCTTGCTTGAGATCTTGTGATGGTCAGTTTATGCAGAGGATGAAGGATCCAAAGTATAAACCCTCTAATGTAGAATAACCCATGAACTCCAAAAGCAAAAAGGAAGAACCCTAGATTAGGGTTTATTCAAAATTCACTAACGTTAGGAGGGGGTTATGAATTTCATTGAGAGAGAGAGAGAGAGCATGGACGAGAAATAAGGGAATAAACACCTAAGGTGTGAACCCTATTAGTCTATTTGTAGGCAGCTGATGAAACCCTAAATGATACAAACTCTTAGGGTTTATCCTTATCTTATATGAAAGTTAGCTTATCCCTATCTGGGATGCAGTCAAAACTGTCCATATGAAGCTCTCTAGGAGCTGTGGAATATTCCTATTAATCTCTTGGATTAATTAATATTCAAGCCCTTTAATTAATTAGAAAGTTTAATTAATTACCAATAATTTCTAATTAATTTAATAATTCCTTAATAGACTAAGAACTTATTTTCTCTATTTCCTTAATTCTATTTGTGTCATGAGGCCAACCCAAAATGACCGTGCTATTATTAGAAATATTACCAAAATAGATAATGACATTGAACACCATTTCCAACAGTATGATGGCTGAGATCATGTAGCTTTATGATGGTTGAGAGCCTATCGATGTTGATGACTAGATGACACTTAGTTACCGTTGATGATAGAATGATACTAGAGCCAAGAGTCAATGTTGATCAATGGAAAAACACTATATCTGCGAGCCTTTGTTTTGTATACATTTCATGTATGGTGGAGTATGTGGTATACTAGGAAACTCACAAAGCTTTATGCTTACGTTGTTAAGTTAAATGTTTTTCAGGTTGATCAGAAGCACCCTGACTATTATTTCAATTTTTATTCCATTTATTTTTCTATTTTACGAGTTGGGTGGATACGAAACAGAGAGAAGATGTAGTGGAGTTTCCCAAGTCGAACACAGAGTCAGTGTTTTCAAGAGATTCTTGGAGTAGTGGCATTGGCTTCCACTAAAGATGTGAATAGTTTCGTGTTAGTAACCACATCCACGATATTGTGATATGAGGGCGACAATTAACGGGGATTTGCATCATGAGTTCAGTTTCTTTAATCGTGGAGTCTATATCAGCAAGAATAGTGACAATGTTTTTAAGGGCATGACAATATTCTGTAATTGAGAAGGCACCTTTCTTGGTATTGCATTATTGATCTTGAATCATTCTTGATATTTTGTTGTTCAAGAAGAACTCATCAAGTTTGTCCAATAAATCCTTTGTAGTGTAGCTATCGCTCGAAATAATTTGAAGTAAGTTCGGGTCATTGATGTGTCCAACAACTTTAGCATCTTTGCAAATGTCTAAAAAGATAAGACGCCATAACTTGTACTTGAACCATCAACGGTAAGCTTGAAACTAAATTGTTGTTAAATATTTGTGACTGCATACACTAAATGATGGCCAACCGGCAAGGAATTGGAGGATTGAGCGAGAGATGTCATGGACCCAGAAAAATAACAAAATATGTGAAATAAAAAATAAAAAATAAAGGTTGAAACACTAATTGTATGTATATTGATTGTAGTATATGTACTAGAGTAATATGTGAGTCTTCAAGAATGCAACACAATAATAATTTTTTGAAGAGATGGGGGCAGGATTAAAGAGATGGGGGCATTTTTTGAAGAGATGGGGGCAGGATTGATAGAGATGGGAGCCGAGTACACACAAGAAGATTAGTGAGTAGAAAATGTCAGGATTGATTATGGTAGCCAATAGAGATGGATGTCAGAAAAGATAGTGTGACACTGAAAAATGCTAGGGTTGCAGGAAAGGGTTGCAGGAAAAAAAATATACGTTCTGATACTATGTTATTTTGTGAAAATACTTATGATACTATGTTATTTTGTGAAATACTTATTATAGTTTCTGTGTATTTTATTTCTTTATATAGTTAATAGTATTTATAATAAGAACCCTACACTATATAAATAGTTAGCGGTGCAAAACAAATGGATCAAGCCATAAGGAATCACAATGAAAGATTTTTAATTCTTAGAGACCACCAGTATAACAAAATTCTCATAAGGACCATACGTGGTCTTTTTTAAAAAACCTTGAGACCATTTGTGTAATTTTGTCATTAAATTTGTTACTATTTAAACAACACATATTAAATGGTTTATGAAAATACTAGTTAGAATTTCTGTATATTCTAACTTTTTATATAGTTATAATATTTATAATAAGATATTCTAACTTTTTATATAGGTATAATATTTATAATAAGGATCCTATGCTATACAAATGTTAAAATAAATATAATACATTCTAACAGTTAGCGATGCAAAACAAATGGAGTGAACCATAAGGATTCACAATGTAAGATTTTCAATTCTTAGGAACCACGAGTATAACAAAATTCTCATAAAGTCCACACGTGGTCTTTTTTGTAAACCTTGAAACCATTTGTATAATTTTGTCAATATTAAATTTGTGACTATTTAAACAACACGTTATTTCAATTTATAATAAACTCATATTAAATGTTTTTAATGTCATAAATACACAAACTAGTATAGACATTTTATTGAAAATCTCTAGACATCTTATTGAAAAATCCTCTATATTAAATGTTTCTATAATAAAAGAATTGTTATGAAGCATATTAGACCTCACAAAGGTGTCGTGTCAACCTATTTATTTTCGTGTTGATTTCGTGTCGGGTTTCGGGTTAATGTTTAAACCTTGTAAATATGTTGTGTCATGTTGGGTTAAAACATTTTAAAGGTTGGAAAGTATGAGACGGGAAGACGAAAAGGAAAAAATGATAGACTCAGGTTGGGAAGTGGAATAACAAAATTCATGGTAAGTTTAACAAGCAAAATGGAAAGAGTTAGAGTTTGGGAGCAAAATATGTGGTAAGGAAGAGTAAAAGTAAGTCCTTTTAAAAGTTTGAATTTTAATTTTAATTATTAAGTTTGGCTCACTACAAATGTATAATATATAACATATTTATAAAAAATATGAAACGTATACAAAATGATATATATAATTAAACGAATCATCTTCGAGTTGAAAGTCTTAATCCTAACCCAAAACGTTTAATTTTCGTGTCTTGCAGTATCGATCCATTTACTTAAATGTGTTGAAATCTTTTACTTAAACCTGCTAATTTCGTGTCGAATTGTCGTATCGTGTCATATTTTGCCAGGTCTATCAAACGTAGAATTAACATATGATTATTTTCAATTATTAACCTATAATAGATTGAATTTTTTCTGACATTTATTCTTACTTAAAAAACAAAAAATAAAATACAGAAAATAGTGGTTTTTCCAAAATAAAAACTGAATTCTTTTGTTTGGTTTCAGTGTTATTCAAAAAACAAATCAAACCTAAAAATTATATTTAGTTCTCCCAAATGTATATTAATCATTTTATCTTATCTTTTTTTTTTTACTTTTAGTTCCAACTTCTAACAAATAAAATAGGGATATATACATTAAAGTCTAAATATTTTCATCGATTTGACAACAAAGTCCTAAACTTTATTTTTTTGACAGTAAAGTTCAAATTACCGGCAATTTTTGACACTTTTACCCTTTTTTGCCGGTTAGCCGGTAATTAGGATTTTTTTGTCAAAAAAATAAAGTTTATGGCTTTTTTGTTAAATCGTCAATTAGGACTTTACTGTCAAAAAAATAAAGTTTAGAACTTTCTTGTCAAATCGTTGAAAATATTGGGACTTTAGTGTATATATCATTTTTTTTGTTAGAAATTTAATGGTATGATACTTTTTAAGCGTAAGAGTTATTGAAACATTTTCTAGTCAGCTAGATCCTATTGAAATCTTTAACGTTTGCTTCTTGTTAAATAGTTTTTTTAATCTCAACAAACCGACATTGAAAAAAATGGAGATAATCAAGAAAGAAAGAAAAAATCAGGGTTGTGTTAGCTTTTTGTAGTCTCAAAAATGGAGAAATAAGAAACCGAAAAAAAACGAAATTGCTCTTCTTTCCCTTCTCAACATTCACACCCTTTTGATTAGGCATGTGTTGTTTGTGTTTGTATAATTTGTTCCCACTTTTTAGTTCAAGATTTGGCGGCGAAGCAAGAAGAAACTTTTACAAGGGTGATATATACACTAAAGTCCAAATATTTTCAACGGTTTGACAAGAAAAACCTAAAGTTTATTTTTTTGACAGTAAAGTCCTAATTGACGATTTGACAAGAAAGTCCTAAACTTTATTTTTTTGACAAAAAGTCCTAATAACCGGCTAACCGGGAGGGTAAAAATGTCAAAAATTGCCGGTAATTTAGACTTTACTGTCAAAAAAATAAAATTTAGGACTTTCTGCTTGTCAAATCGATGAAAATATTAGGACTTTAGTGTATATATCCCGATAAAATAATACTTTTCTTCCACAAAATCACATATTCTTTTCCTTTGTACAAGTCATTGTTATTTTGGCCCCACATACTCAACCAAAGAATGTTCTTTCTCTCCCCCACAACACCATCTCTAATCTTGCTATCAAAGGTTAACTACGCAACTTCCCTATAAAACCATTTTTGGGCAATGAACATTTCATCGTGTATTATATTTGTCGTTATAGAAACAAGTCAAAGGTAGCCATTTTGGGAAAAAAAGTGTCATCTCAAAACTGTAAAATCCACCCAGTTGATTTTTTTATTCTTATATTCAATTTCATTCGGTTATTCTATAGATTCAAGCTTTTCATGGATTTGGGAATAAAAGATAGTTTGGCAAATGCATTGAAACAAAGCCGATATCATGCAAAAAGATGCTTTGATCGGTATGCATGTCTTTTAACACCAACATAATATCATTTCTTTTATTCTAGCCCTTCCCCTATTCGGTATCATGTGATTGAAAATGTGCCCCCTTAGTTGGTAGACAAATATATAGTTTAGGAGTAGGATTTAGAAGATATGTGTTATATATATTTTCAAAAAAAACATAATATTATTTTTACTAGGCTAAATATGTCAAATTATTTTATTGTTATCTTGTATGTCTTGAAATTTTAATTGTTGTAACTGATAGATAATGGTTCGGAATCCAAATCTGTTTTGTTGTTTTTTCAATGAAGTATCATATATGTTTAGGAAATATTAATATCCAAATTTGATTTTTTTATTGAATCCCAATTTCTTTTTCTTTTTAAAGTTTTACGTCACGTGGGAGAAGATTAGTAAAACCCCAGGAATTGATTTACGCAATCGAGAAAACCATAGATGACGAGCTTGAAAGAACCAAGGTTTTGGAGGGTTCATTGGGTCAAATCTTGAGGTCCACACAGGTTATCATCTCCCTCTCTATCCTTATATTATTTAATTTAATAAAAACAAAATGTTTAATAATTTTGATTGGCTATTGCATTACTAGAATTAAATTAAAATTAATATAAGTGATATTATTGTAAAGACCATAAAAAACGGATATAATTTTATCATTTTATTAATTTAAATATTTTACCAAAAACTTGTGGTTATTATTTGTCTTTTTTTATAATTAGTAACTTTAGCGAAAACAATATGCTAGAGAACATGGACTGAAAACAAGGTTTGGTAATAAAAATTTTGGAAAATTTACGGATTATGTAAGTTCACTATTCCTATTGATATTTATCTAATATGTGAGTGTTATTGAGAAGTTCAATATGAGATAATCTGTTAGGTCTTAGAAACATTTTAAATTTTAGACACAAACCAATAACTTCATTGTTGGAGGAGAGTATATGAATTGTTAGATTTCGTAATAGAGTTATAAAATAAGCGAGATACATGTATATCAATAATTCGAAAAGTAGATAAGATCAATGAAAATTGCATAATCATCAGTTGAAAATGGTTTATGGAAAAAACTGACAGAAAGCTCTAGTTGTCTGCAACTTGGGTTGTCATCCCTAAGCAGGCCAAAACTTGTATGTTGCTTCCGCTCTACTTCAGCATGAGCAATGCTTTTTCGTACTCTAAGTCAAAATAAATTTGTCTCTTAACTTCATATTTCGACGTGTTCGAAATCAAACTTGTCCTATATACAATTGTATACTTCATACCTTGTAACTTGTATTAGATATTGATTTAAAATCTCATTTGGCACTCACGTTAATCCAATTGCACTAAACTGCTAGTGATACTAAAATCTCAAACACAATCAACTATGTCATTAATATGTGCATACTTTTGAATATCAAATGAACTTCAAGTATGTAATCATTCATAAATTGAGAGGCTTAGAATATATCATATATTCCTTGTATTTTATTCCCCTTATATGATGTGTAATTTATGGTACAATTTCCTACAAAACTAGGTAAACCAACAACAACATAATTTTCAAAAAGTCAAAAATAAATATAATGTGTTAATTAATATAACAATAGTAACAAATTATAAAATTACATTATAAATTAACTGAAATTGTTGAAATGCAGGAGGCTGTGGTAATTCCACCATATGTGGTATTGGCGATAAGAGGGAGTCCAGGACGCTGGGATTACTTGAAAGTCAATGCAGATGACGTCACAGTTCATGCCCTTACGCCTACACAATATCTGTCCCTTAAAGAGTCCATATACGATAAGGACCGGTATATTTACCATTAAATTCGTCATTTTATTTCAAAATACGTATAAATTTTTATCCATGAATTTACAAGTACATTGTTTTTTATTCACTACAAATGTTATTTGTAGCATTTTTGCTTAATCATGAGACGAGATTTAACAAATATTTAAGAGCTATTTATGATGATAATTATCGTCTTCTATCTTACAAAACAAGTATTGGATGAGCAGGGTGAAGAGCGAAGACACAGTGGAGGTGGATTTCGGAGCGTTCGACTTTTGCATGCCTCGTCTAACCCTCCCTTCTTCTATCGGGAATGGATTCAACTACATTTCAAAGTTCACAACTTCAAAGCTTAGTGGGGATTTAGAGAATGCAAAGCCATTGCTTGACTACTTGCTAGCTCTAAATCATCGTGGAGAGGTAACCATGGTTATTGTTAGAGTCTCACATCATCAGCTACACACACTTCCACCTCTATTGGAGTCTCCCCTTGACAGATAATCAAGGACTACACATATCTAACTCCTCAGATCGGACTCATGGATTCAATTCTTTAATTTCTTATGGGTTTCTTTTGCAGAAGCTTATGATCAATGAGACATTAGATACAGTTTCGAAGCTCCAAAAGGCATTGATTGTTGCGGATGTCTACTTATCTGCACACCCAAAAGATGAGCCATGTCGTACCTTTGAGCACAAGTAATTGATAACCCAAGTTTTCTTTATGTACGAATTTAAGGAATGATAAAGGATTTTATCCTGAATTGTAGGCTTAAAGAGTGGGGATTTGAGAAAGGATGGGGAGATAGTGCCGAAAGAGTTAAGGAGACAATGAAGATGCTTTCAGAGATTCTTCAAGCTCCAGATCCATGTAACATGGAATCATTCTTTAGCAGGCTTCCGGTTATATTCAATATCGTTATCTTCTCCATTCATGGTTACTTTGGACAATCAGATGTTCTTGGATTGCCTGATACAGGAGGCCAGGTGCTTGACTAATTCCCAAAGTCAAATTTAGGATTCAGAAATCACAAAATTAACGTGAATTTATCTTCTTTTGTGAAAATTTTGATAAACCCATATGGATTAACAAAATTTACTTACCGGAAAAGAATTTGGTGTAAAGAAAATTGATAGATTTCGTTTCTTGAAGAGCTCAGTTTGACCTAAAAAGTCAACATATTTGTCATGCAGGTTGTTTACATTCTTGATCAAGTGAAAGCACTAGAGGAAGAGATCTTACTACGAATAAAGCAGCAAGGATTGAATGCAAAGCCTCGGATTCTTGTGGTACATAAAGTTGGAGTTATTAAACAGTCTCATTTGTCTCTATATATGTTAGAGTCTAGGCTTTTTTCGGAAAGAAAATCAAGAACTCCACATATATAATTCAATGCTTAAAATATTCATGATATTTGTGTGTAATTTAATGAAAATATAAATATGCAGGTGAGTCGACTCATTCCCGAGGCACAAGGAACAAAGTGTAACGAGGAAATGGAGCCAATCTTGAATACTATGTATTCCCACATCCTTCGGGTTCCTTTCCATACTTCAAAAGGCATTCTCCCTCAATGGGTTTCACGCTTTGATATCTACCCCTACCTTGAAAGATTTGCACAGGCAAGTTTTTTATATACTGTGTTTGACGTGCATTGTACTGAAACTGGAACTGAGACTGATGTCAATGAGACAAAAATAATGCAATTTTAGGATGCTGCCTCTAAGGTGCTAGAGGTGATGGAATGTAAACCGGATCTTATATTAGGAAACTACACAGATGGTAACATTGTGGCATCACTAATGGCTAAAAAATTTGGAGTGACACAGGTTTTTTAACTTATTAAACTCCTTTTTTTCGTTCTTTTAAATTATTTTTAGTTCCTCGAATCATTGTTTTTGGTCGAATTTCAATTCCAGGGGACGATTGCACATGCATTGGAGAAGACAAAGTATGAAGACTCGGATATTAACTGGAAAAAATTTGAAAACAAGTACCACTTTTCATGTCAATTCACTGCAGATTTGATCTCAATGAACGCTGCTGATTTCATCATCACAAGCACTTACCAAGAAATTGCAGGAAGGTTAGATGTTTGATTCCTAAACTTAGATTGTAATGAAATTAGCAAAACACGTAGTAAAAGTATTTTCAATTATTTAAGAGTTGTTTCTTTTTTACATAATGGGCTTAATGCGTTAAGCACTTAATCTAGACAACTATACATGGTTGTTTCAATTTTACTTAATCCAGACACAATCACTTAATGTATTATGCCAAAAAATTTGGCTTAATGCATGTATTAAGCATTAACTCCTCTCTAGTTAAAACCGTTGAATATTGCTAAAACCAATGGATATTGTGAAATTTGTTTATTTTTGGAATGTAAAGGTGAAGTGCTCATTTAATCTCATTCAGTCGGGTGTGTAAGACAAACTTATGATTAAAGCATTTTATCCACACAATCATCATTATCATTCAACTACTTTATCAATACACCGATTAATGGAGAAAAAAAGAGAAACAACACCTAACTTTAAAATCTTTGAAGTTAGGTTGTTAATATAAATTTAATCTAAGTGCTTCTTTTGTTACTTTTTGTGTAGTAATAAAAGGCCGGGACAATATGAGACACATGCAGCTTTTACGATGCCAGGACTTTGTAGAGTTGTATCGGGAATCAATGTGTTCGATCCAAAGTTCAACATAGCTTCACCCGGTGCAGAACAATCGGTTTATTTCCCAATCACAGAAAAAGAAAAACGATTAACTTCCTTTCATCCCGCAATTGAAGAACTACTTTTCAACAAAGAAGACAACAATGAGCATATGTAAGTTGTTCCAAATTGGACCCGACCCAGCCCAAAAAAGCCCAAGTTAACTTGTGCACCTCATAACATACTTTTGTGTTTCAAATAGGGGATATTTGGTGGACCGAACAAAACCGATAATATTTTCAATGGCGAGGCTCGATACAGTGAAGAATATAACGGGATTAACCAAGTGGTTTGGGAAGAATAAACGACTCAGAAGTCTTGTAAACTTGGTTGTTGTTGCGGGCTTTTTTGATCCATCAAAATCGAAAGATAGAGAAGAAATGGCAGAAATCAAGAAAATGCATGAATTGATTGAAAAATATAAACTTAAGGGCCAAATGAGATGGATAGCGGCTCAAAATGATAGGACTCGTAATGGGGAACTGTATCGGTGTATTGCTGATACTAAAGGGGCTTTTGTGCAGCCCGCGTTGTATGAAGCTTTTGGGCTGACGGTTATTGAAGCAATGAATTGTGGGCTCCCGACTTTTGTGACAAACCAAGGTGGGCCCGCGGAAATTGTGGTTGATGGGGTTTCGGGGTTTCATATTGACCCGAATAATGGAGATGAATCGAGTGAAAAGATTGCTGATTTTTTTACCAAGTGTAAAGTAGATGTTGAGTATTGGGATCGGTTGTCTCAAGCTGGACTTCAACGAATTTATGAGTGGTAAGTTGAATCAAACCCAAAAATAGATCCGATCAAATGTGGTCATAGCATCGGTCCGGACCAGGTTTCATCTGGTCTGGTCCGGACCAAATTTTATCTGGTCGTGTGGACCGTGATAAAGCCTTTACTGGTCCGAACCAGGATAAGATGAGTGCATGTGTGCAACTCAAAGAATTGAATCATGTTTAATTGTTTGGTTCTTTCAGCTACACATGGAAGATCTATGCTAACAAGGTGTTGAACATGGGCTCGATGTATGGCTTTTGGAAGCAACTAAACAAAGAGAATAAGCAAGCGAAGCAGCGATACATTGACATCTTGTATGATTTACAGTTCAAGAAGTTGGTAAGTCATTTCCTTTTCCTTTTCATTATAGTTTGTATCAAAAAAATCGATAAAAATTATATCATTCTTTAAAAAACTATTTATCGTTTTTTATAGTCAAAAACCATTGAGATCCCAAACATCACAACACCGGTCAAAACCGAACCAACAAAACAAAGACAACAGCCCACAACCGGTGCACCCAATGAACCACCAACCGCAGCGGCTCAAGAGCCGGTGCACCCACCACGGACCATGTCAAGTTCAAGGTCAATGCGATTGAGTTCAATGACCACTGCAGGAAAACCATTGCTTGTTTTTGTATCTGTGTTGATTGTTGTGTATGCATCAAAAAATCTGTATAGGTATTTTAAATAGGGCATTGTAATTTGTGGTAATGTAAGTAACCATAAGTGTTTATAAATAAATGATTTTATTACAGCATTTTACTTTCATTTCTTCCTATTAAATAGAATGATGTAATTATTTGCTTTATGCATCAATCGAAATAAACCCACAAACAGAATGTCATTAAAGTTCACAAAGCTAAGAAACCTAAGTTTATTACTTTATTACCCTTTTGAATCCAAATATGTATGTACAAAAGACATGAAAAGACGACTTTGTACAAAGAAATTTAACATATTTACCAAAGAGTCTCATGGTTTAGCAGAGGCCTTGCAAACAGGGCACCAGTTCTTTAACTGCAGCCACTGGTTTACACACACAGCATGGTAACCATGATTGCATCCCATTCTTCCTATTTCATCTCCTGCTATAAACTCCTCCTGTAAGAAATAGCAACATACTTTCATTCATCTGTTTATTATAACATTCTACTTTCATTGTTTTTCCTATTACATCATTATACATTGAAAGATATTCAAATTAGGTAGATTTTAGTCATTTTACAAAGTATAACAGCTAATTGATGTAGATAAAAGATTTTTAAGAAGCATCACCTGACAGATGCTGCATTTTGATTCATCCAAACACCAACTGGTTTTTGTTCTTGAATCCTTAATTTGCAATGGTTCATATATGCTAATTTTAAGGCATTTTGATAATTCCTCTTCAGATAATGATGTGCTCACTATACCCATTTCCTCCTCTAATGCTAATAGTTCCTGTAACAAAAATTCCATCAAGATTCATGTTTGCCATAGATTTTTGGGCTAAATGCAAGAAATAGAAAAAGCAGAAAACCTCATAGGACATGTTATCAATGTCTAGTCTCATGTCCCTATGTTGATCATACAAGTTGAAGCCACCAAGAAATGAATTTCCATCAAAAGATAGAATTTGCTGCAAATATGAAAAAAAAAATATGGTTAAAGTTACAGGTATTTCAGAATTGTTTTTCTTTTTTTTTAAAAAAATGGAATCACTACCTCATATGTTAGCCCCTCATCTTGATCGATTCTCTCAAGTGCCAGTAATACCTGCAAACCATAAATCAGTTCTCCCAAACATTTCTCATTAAGAAATTGAAATATGATAATAACATAAAGAACTTACATTTGCAATGGCATCAACATTGTATCCAGCAGTCATCATGCTAGATAAGCCATGATGGTTGGAACCATCTGATGAAGTTTCTCCAGTTAACCAACATGGTTCAGTCTGTGGCTCATGTGAGGTCACACCAGTAGACTGAACCACAGACTGATTGTTTCCATTTAGGTTCACAGACCTCCGAGTCCTTACAGATAATGGTTCACTCATCTTCTTGCCTCTAGATGAACTTGTTTCTCCTTCAGTAGATCTTTTCTTTACTGTATTTCTCCTACTTGAACCAATTTGAGCATCATAGTTTGCAAGACCAGGTTTTTGACCATTTGTTCTACCATTAGACTCAGTGCCTTTGGATTTTGACTTATGATTAGTTGCTGAAGTTTTAAGTTGTTCAATTTCAGGCTTAGAAGATTTCTTAGATTCCTTGAGAGGTTTCTTCACGTTTGTCGCTACTTCCTTGATGTTTGAAGATCGAGAGGAAGGCCTTTTAGGGCTACTTAAGATTTGATTTGGCGTATGTTTTGTATGGTTTAATCTGCCACTGCATCCAATTCGATTGCAGAATTGAATAGGTTCAGGTTCATCTCTAGTGCCATTAGTATCTCGTGCAGAAGGACCTGATCCCTTTCTAAGAGCACTAACCCAGTTAACAGCTCGTTTAGCAGAATATGAATCCATGGAGATGTTACGTAAAGTCCCTTATCAATTATTTCAAAAACGATGTTAGTCCTTTCTTCATGTATAAGCATAATTATGAATAGAAGTGTAAAGGCGGCATAAATCGCATCGTGTTCTATTTGCTCAGTGATTCAGAGGAAAACGATAAATCGCATAAAGAATCAGTTTAAATAATCCCCTCTTCGTTATACTTAACAACGATCAATACCCAAGTAACAATCAACAAATATGATAATCAAATTCAAAAGAAGTAAGTAACAATAGTCAAAATTCAAAAGAACAATCAGCGTATCCATAAACGAATATGCAAACATGAACAGCAGCTAGATTAATCAAAACTAAGATAAACCCTAATCGATCAAAACCATGGAAGAGAAATAGCAACTGGCTTACCAAAATTGATGTTGCAGAAGCAGAAGAGAAAGTGGAGGGAGGATACGTGTAGGAGATAGAATGGAAGTCTAATATTTATCTATAAAATTATGGTGGAATGAAGACGCAAAGCAAACAAAGAAAGGAATGGTTAGCTGAAATACCGGCCGGTCATACTGAAGTGGAGGAGGTGGTCAAAAGTCAACGGCCGTCGATGGTGGGGGCCGTTTTAACTTCCACAGCCACAAGTACAAGCTCTTAAACCAAATGTCACCATTTTCATGCACTTCCATTCGTCTCATTATACATTTATAACAAGGTAACTTTTTATAGTTTAAATTTTTAATCTTTAGTCTTCACTTGAACTCCCTCGATTATCCATTGCTGTAATTAAAAATAAAATAAAAAAATAAAAATAAAAATAATCAAGATACAAGGTAAGAAAAAGATAAACAAAAATAGAATAATATGTAAAATAAAATGAAGTAATATGTTATACATAATAAATGAATAAATGTATTGTTATTTCTTTTATTTAGTCTTGTAATTTGTATGTTTTAAAATGCGGACACAAACAAGTTTGGGGTTTGTTCTGAATTGGTCATCAAAGTTTTTTTTTTTTCAAAATAGGTTCCTAAATTATCAATTTACCTATTAAACAGGGAACCATCAAATTTAATTTTGGTTTCACCCGTAACATTTAGTACACATTGTGTTTCTGTTTTTTTCAAAATTAAAATACTTTTTTTTATCTAATTAGCTTCCCTTTTATTTCTCCTTATAAAATTTAGCCTACAACCGGAACACTTCTTTTTCACCGGTAACACTCCTTTCAACACTGCCATGCACTTCCGACTCTCGATTCAGTGCTTCAGTCATCCTCGGAGAGAATCAAGATGTGAAAACCGACGTGCATATCTCATCTTTCTCTCTGTCTCCTCCCCCTATTATCACCTCCCGGCATATTCACTGACACGTCCTCCTCCGGCCTCCGGCTGCCTTCTCCACCCTCTTCTTTCACGTTGTTTATAGGTGCGGTCTTGCCCTCTTTTCCCTTCCTTGCAACTGAACACAATGCATCCGATCATTTCACCGATGTTGGGCCTTTCTAGAACCTCCTAGACCATTTGGCTGATCTTGTCAACAACAATGTCTTGACTAGAACATGCCCTAAGAGCAACGATTGCCGACGGTGGTTACTTTCTTTCGTCTTTGTAGGCGATGATGAATAGTCGGCGTTTATCACATCGTTTGAAGCAATGTGTGTTGATGCTCCTAATTGACTAGATCCTATGACGGAAGAAAACGCAGGTTCGAGTTCATCCCGTTCTTTTACGACATCTACATAAGGTTTATCACATCGATTATGGGGTTTTTTTTTTAACAGTGATTATAAAAATGTGGTTTTGCTTAGGGATGTAAATCAGTCCGGAACCGGACCGAACTGGAACCAGAACCGAAAACAGATTAAGATGACACTGGGCCAAAACCGAAAACCTATTAAGGCTCATATCCGAGACATTGGGCCATATGGTTCAACCAGGGTCTATGTAGTTTGGGCTTCAAGCTTAAATGGGTAAGATGACATCTCAAGAGATCATGGACGCTAAAGCTTTAACAGGTTCGAAGAGCCACAGTGAAGCTGAAAGACGACGTCGAGAGTAGGGGTGAGCATAAGCGGGTACCCGACCAAATTAAACGGAACCGGAACCGGCAGTTCCTAAAATCTTGGAACTGGAACCGGTTACATCGGTTCTTAAGGTTTTGGAACCGGAACCGCCGGGAGCAGTTCCTGTTCCGGGTACCCGGTCACCAAAGTTTTAATATTATTTGTAATAAAAAATAACAAGTTAGCTCTTAAAGACTAAATAAAAGACACAAAACCATATAAATTAAGTATTACAATTATTTATCATAAAATTTAACCATTTTTTTATCCAACGTAATGTATATAGTTGTAATTTTTGTATTGTACAACATATCAATTTGTAAGCACCTTATCATATTGGTAGATGTTATTGTTGCATCATATTAGGGTAGTTCATTTTAGATATAAAACCTACATATTCAAAATAAACAACATTTAACAGTATAATTTAAAGTAATAAATTTATAGTACATAAAGCATAGATTAAAGAATATATATATATATATATATATATATATATATATATATATATATATATATCAACCGGTTCCAATGGGTACCTAGCGGGTAGCGGTTCCGAAAAAATGGGAACCAGAACTGGAATCGGAACCGCCTAAGGCGGTTCCAAAACTTTTCGGTTCCAGAACCGGCGGTTTTGAGGCAGTTCCGGTTCCGAAAGCGGGTACTCTGTTCTGATGCTCACCCCTAGTCGAGAGCGCATCAACAATCATCTTGCCAAACTTCGAAGCTTACTTCCCAATACCACCATAAAAAAGCTACTAGAACAATTTGAACCCTAAAACTAAAATCTTGAACCCAAAGGCCTAGACAGAGGTAGAGAACAATGTCACCATGGAGAATCAAAACTAAAATTTGAACGACGGCGAGTTGATGGTAAATTTTTTTGACATTGTTCCTTTCTGGCGGATATGTGAATCTCTTGGAAGTAGCGAAAAACACAGATCCATAGCCCGCGATTGTCTGGGCTCCTTCTAGCTTCGTTTATGGATTGAACATCGAGAATCCGTTTTCGGAATTTGACCAAACCAACCAACCAATAAGCCTTTATGCCGCCACAAAAGCACATTTACGACATCGTGAACTATGGCTAAAAGCTCCGGAAAGAGTGGAAGAAGAAAGGACCGACTCAATTGAGGATATATAATCTTAGGATAAAGATGTCACGAAAACGACGACGTCCCTTTTACTCACACTAACGCAGATCCACTATTGAATTTTAATTTAAACTTAAAAAAAAACACATAACCTAAGGTAACCAGTGAAACCGGGATAATTTAGTGACCTATTGCGCAAAAAAAAAACATTATTGACCAAATCGGATAAACAGCAAAAGTTTATCGTGCTACAATGACATTCTCCCAAATTTAAATTATATCTATTCATTTTCTATATAATTCATCAATATATTTAAAATTAAACTAATCACATATAAACATATTTTTAATACATGAAAATAATATTACCAAATTTCTAATTTTCAAATTTTCTAAGACAAATGCCAAAAAAATATGCATTTTTTTTGTTTAACCATAAAAAAGGATTGTTTTAACTAGGGGTGTGCGCGGTTAGAGACAAAACTGCAAAACGCACCGCGTGTGCGGTTTGAGATTTTCGGAAACCGCAAACCGCACCGCGAAAGCTCTAAACCGCGTTATGCGGTGCGGTACGGTTTGGTGCGGTTTTGATGCGGTTTGAAGAAGAAGGTTTTAATATTACATAACCAAATCTAACTATTTATATTTATGATTGTATGTATAACTTTTTACTAATAAAGTATATATACACAATAACATAAATGCGTTCTCACTCGATATATACAATATACAAATTGTTGTGATAGCCATAACAAGGACACCTCACTCGATATATACAAGGGTTAATGACCTATAAATATAACAAACTTTGGTCTTTGTCCATATTTAGGTAACCATGTTTTTTTCGTTCACATTTGACCAATGAACTTGTTTGACCTGTTCAAAATAAGGTAATATGATTGGTAATTACGGTAATATTACCCATTATGAACAGGTCACACAAGTTTATTGGTCAAATGTGTACGAAAAAAAAACATGATTACCTAAATATGGACAAAAACCAAAGTTTCTTACCCATTTTGGTAATATTGGACAAAAACCGTCTCTGGGACTGTGACCTGGGATCAGGCTCCGACAGTCAATGAACAATTAGGTTAGGCTTGGTCTAACCCAGTTCAGTCCCGACTAGTCATGAGCTAAGCTGTGTTGCTAGGTCTTTAAAGCACATACATCCTAGCCCCTTAAGCGTATACAACCTAACCCATAACTAGCTGGTCTTAAACTGGGTTGGCCCAAGACTTGACCATTTCCTCATACATAAAGACCGGACAACCCAATTTCATGCCACATCAATGAATCTTATGACTACATGCAATTAACATAAAGAACCTAATATTACCAAAATGGGTAAGGAACTTTGATTTTTGTCCATATTTAGGTAACCATGCTTTTTTCGTACACAATTGACCAGTAAACTTATATGACATGTTCATAATAGGGTAATGTTACTGCAAATTACCAGTCATATTATCTTATTTTGAACAGGTCAAACAAGTTCAATGGTCAAATGTATATGAAAAAAACATGGTTACCTTAATGTGAACAAAGACCAAAGTTCGTTACCTTTCTAGTTCATTAACCCTATATACAATATACAAATTGTTGCGATATCCATAACAAGGACATCATCACATAAATGTTATTAAATTAAATTAAATAATTTTGTGCCACCAATAATTATGATATCAAACTTGTGATTTATGTATAAACGTTATTAGAGTAATAACTATAATCTGTTCAAGAAAAAACAATAACATAAAATATGAGATTTGATTTTTTTTTTTTTTTTGAAAAGTCTGTTAAAAGAATGACAAACTGCACACTTGGTATTCCAAAACTAATTTAAAAGATTATCGACCGTTTGCAATAAAATCATTCCATAGTATATTGCTAAGATTGTGTGTATATTTATATTATTGACATGCGGTGCGGTGCGGTTTAAACCGCAGTTTTATAATAAAAAACCGCAAACCGCACCGCACAATACAGTTTAATAAAATTAAAAACCGCAAACCATACCACGGAACTTTTAAACCGCATTTTGCGGTGCGGTGTGGTGCGGTGCGGGCGGTTTGATGCACACCCCTAGTTTTAACCACAAGACTTTATTTAATTAAAAAAAAACACTTTCAGTTTTCTAAATGTTATCAAATTTAAAACTTTTACTTGTAAATTTAAAATATACATTTATAAGTTTCTAATTTTTTTTATATGATGGTTGATGGTGGACTTGTGTTAGAACCTTGCTTACAAGATACTAAATGAGGTTATAAGAAATTCGTTGGGAGTGTCACGAATTACTGGGAAATTAAGGGAATCATTATTGAGATGATATGTACGTTTCCGAAGGAGGCCACCATCAACATCACTTAGGAGAGTTGATTCAATGATGATTGATAGCAATATGAGGAGAAAGAGACGTCCTAAAAGGAAGTACGAGGATAGTGTGATGATGGATATGAATGAGTTTTCATTTTAAGATGAAATAACATCATATAGAAGGATGTGGCGGCTAACTATCAGGATAGTTGACTAACCTAGCATCTTTGTATGTATTGTATGGTTTGTGTTCAGAACTATAGTGTTGATGAATGTTTCATGCTCTTATGCTTGTATTACGATTTATTCATGTCTTTCTTTTTTGCTAACATTTGACTTATTTTTTCTTTGTTTTCTATTTTTGCTGGCTTTATGATCCATATGCTTGTAATATGATTTTACCCGTGTTTGGTGTATTGCACAAAATATTTCTCACCCTCTTTGTTTATCGTATTTTCAAGTTAACGGTCATCTTTGTAACACAGTCGTTTTATCCTTGAAGGAAGCACAACTGTCGATATCTTACCTCACTCTACTCCATATAAATATGATCTCACGGGTTTTGTGTGTGTGTGTGTGTGTGTGTATATATATATATATATATATATATATATATATATATATTCACATTAAGCTAAAAAAACAATGTTTTGAACTTGTAAAAAGCTCTTATCCTGATTTGACCTAAAAAAGCTACCATAATGGATGCCATAATCATATTGGATATTTCTTCGACATAGCGATCCTAATCATGTCATTAATTATTGTTTCGTTTAGTCACTTGTTTATACACGCTACCTTATTTGTAGTCATCTGAACCTACAAACAAAAAACAAAATCTTTTCAACCAGATACACCACAACCAAAACAAAACATTCTATAGACTAACTCAGATTCTAGGTTAATCTAACATACAACAGTGAATTTACAAACTAGCCCTCAAATGGGTCCAAGATTTATAAACTAAAAAGACTATTTGTCATCAAATAAACACCTGCGAATAGTTATTGCAATTGCAGTAGCCTTGTGAGGGTGGAAAACGACCGCACAAATACCAAAACATAAGGTAACCACAGTAGCCACAAGGATGAGAGGCCGGGTAGGAAATAATCTACTACTATTATTGGTGTTATAAGTAAATATCCGGTTTGTGGGTCCCACAGGGTGTTGTTCCTTGCCAGGTGTCACACTCATGATGTATTCAGCATTTAAAAGTGCAACAGTTTCACTTTTGTCCATGGAAGTTGGAATTGGCATTCTGTTTGCTACTACCATATCCTTCATAAACAAGTATTTAACACAAGAGTTTATAAGATCACAATTTAAAAGAATAATAGATTTTCAGTAATCTTGATGAAAACAAACATACCTGATTAACTGTTGAAACAAAAGGAAGCACCTCATCTTCTTGGTTTACTTTTTTCTGAAGTCTCTGATGAAGAACTTGTGTAGCATGATTAACAGTCCCTTGAATCAGGATCCCATCACCTTCATTTTTCATAATTCTCATGTTTATGCACTTTAATATTCTCTTCAAAACTGTAGTGGACTCGTATTCGATTAAAAAATCAAGAACACAAGTGAATCTTTGCAGCTGTGATGACATCATCACACACTCTATTTCCTCTACAATTGGCTGTTTTAATAACCACGCCATATCCACAAGCAATTCAGAGAACTTGCTCTGTTTAACTCTAAAAACAGCAATAGACTCTGAATCTTTTGAATAATATTTCATCTGCATGGTTTTAATCTCAGAGCACACTTCCTCATCCGCAATCAGAATTGGAATGAAATTGGACAGCCCGGATTCATTTTCAACCTTCAAAAATTACAAATATATAAATTAACAAATTCTTTTTTTTTTTTCGTAAAAATATAATCTGAAGCTAACCTCAATAAAACCAGGGCCAAAAACGTCCAATTCAGTATGAGGGACAGATATTTTCAGTAACTGATGATCTAAGTTTGTTGTAGAGGTTTCACTTTGGTTACATGATGGTGAAACACTCGCTTCATTTGTCATATACTTTCCAGCAAAAGATACTAAAAACCTGTAGTTTTTAAATGTTATACGTTTATTTTTTATAATAATGAATTAATGAAATAGGACAATTGTGTAAATACCTAAGTCTGGGCTGAAGTAAATTACTTCCACATGCCAAAAACTCTATGGGTTTTCCTGCTTCAAAGCATGTAGGCTCAATATAATGAAGCTTTGGTGCTTTTTCACCTGTTTTAATTTTTATCACAGATCTTCCACCTGCATACCCAAAAACAGATTAAATATTGGAATAACATATAAAATCATACATGATGTAAATATTAAAATAAAGATATGGAGGTGAAGAAACCTTTCATGACACCAAAGATCATGCTGTTAAGGTTAACAAAAAATGTGTCACGTCCTGAAAGTAAGTTTCTTGGTGAAGAAAGGAGGTCATGTATACATACAACTGGATCTTCATTTAACTGTTCAAGAGTTAAATATAATAATGTTTATGGGATTTTGATAGGATAAAGTTTGGACATTTTAATCCAAAGTGGAAGAAAAAATCATCTCACCTTCACCCACATAACTGTAGGCATTGCAATGAATATGGTCAAGATTGTGCATCCAGGACGAATATACCCTTCCAACTCCACAGGCATACTGGACAACCATTGAAATATCTGTAAAACCATATATACATACATCACTTACATGATAAATAAAAAGTATTTCAAAGTAATCATATTGATATTAGTACTTGGTGTCGAAGTCTACGAGGAAACTCTGCTGGATTCCAATCATAGAGCTTGAATGAGATCCTACCAGTTGGGCACTACAATACAATAATATATCAAATTATCAATAAACATGAATTATCACATAAAAATAAGTTTTTATTTTTATATATTTATAAAGAACCTACCACAGAAGAAAAGGCACTCCTGTCATCACAATAAGATGGAGAATGGTTGCCTTTTTCTTTCTCTTCATCTGTTTGAGTTTCACCAGATACAGCTAGAGATGGGATGCTATCACTGTGGATAATTTGGGCATGAGTGGGGCCCAGTAAGGAATTATGAACTCCAGGTGCTATCAATGATTTCTCTTTTCCTGCTGCTTCACTAGTTGTACATTTGGTTGCTACACCATAAAAATTACTTCAGTAATCCAAAAAGAATTAACACATGGGATATCATATCATATCATATCATATGATGTTCTTAGTGTCAACCACCTTTTCCAGCTTCATCATAAGCATAATCATAATCTGCTGATTGAAGTCCAGATGTCTTGGAGTCTGATGGTTTTCTTCTACGCCTGTTATTGTGGCGTTCTAATTTTCTTCTGCAACTACGTTTACCTTCATCAAAATCTGACAGGACATGAAACCTGCATACAACATGCTCAGTTTGTTAAAGATTAAATTTAGCATGCTCCTGAGGATAAGATCAGTGTTAATCTTGATTTACAATTATTTCCTGTACATGAAAGATTAAATTGTTCTAGTTATAGGATCTATAAGGTGGTTGCATAGCTAAGTGTCCAATACCAAAATGCCTATTACAAAACTCACCTCATTCCTGAAGTAAGAAGATGCTAATGAATTACAAAATACACATGAAGGGAATTGTTCTATAACCTTCTAAATTTTGGTCCATATGAATGAATAAATGACAATGAACATTTGATTGGAAGCCTTGAAATGATCGTAGAACTTACTTCCCACACTGCTGGCAGTATCTCTTATTAAGGCCATCAAGCACCACAGTAGTAGCATTAGCACATCGGAGACAAACCCTGTGTCTTTTGTGATATCCCTTGAGCTCACTGATATCCACCTCACAAGAAGGAACCTGACATCTGGAACTTGACGCCGTTCTCGCCGTCGTTGACCTAGACTTTTTCTTTCCAGGAGCACCCTCTTCTTCCTCCGCCACCAGCAGCGCGTCAAGCTCTGGACAGGCGCAAGGGATTCGACCCGCGAGGAAATTCGAGCAGGCCATCCTTGGATCCCGTTTACGAACCCTATCGTTAGTATTAGAAGTCGAATTGACCGGAAACGAGTCGGGTACCGGCTCTACCTGGGGATTGTCAATCGGATAGAGCTCCTGAGATGTTGGAAGCGCGGATGAGTGGTTGGATTCTTCTCCGGGTAAGGGTAAGTGATTGTCAATGTTGAAATCGAGGAACTGACTCCAGTCCCAAATCAAAGTTGACGACTCGTCGATCGAGTCCATGTTCAAAGACGGTGGTTGTTGTGGTGGTGAGGGTGGGGATGGTGAAGACGGTGGAGGGGGATTATGCATTTGATTGTAATTATTGGGGGAAAAGACCTAAGTTGGTGATGGTTGGTGGCGGTTGGTGGCGGCAGTTGGGTGGTTGATTAGCGGAGAAGAGAATGATTTTGAGGTGAAAAGAAAGACCTTAACACCTACGCCTCCTCCTTAGAGTCAACGTTCTGTGATGGACGTGGTGGGCCATGGCTGGAGATATGTCGTCGTCAGTAGAAAACTAGAACCGCAGACTTGCTAGGGCAAATCCATTATATGCACCTATTCGATGCCAACAAGGGTCATTCTTCCGCATCTACTGAGTACACTGCATTAGAAGCTTGAAGCTTCGGTCCGATGTATGAAAAGGAAAGGGAGGGTATATAAAGATTTGCATCAATTGTATTTGTTGTGAAAAATAAGCATTCACTCCCGATGAGCGATACTTTGTTTGAAAGCGTTGTTTGTTTTTTTCGAAGATAAGATTCATTAAGGCCCCGTTTGATACGCATCTTTCCAGGTCTAAACAGATCTTTCTGGCTGAATGGACCGGAAAGACAGTTTGATTTGCACAAAAGAAGGGGTCTTTCCCGGTAAGATATGTCTTTTCCAGAAAGCCCCAAAATCATATCTTTCTGGCTGAATGGGCTGGAAAGACAATTATACACCAAACCCCGCCTCTTTATTTCTTTATTGGATTATTAATTTTTTTAAATAACTTTTTTTAATTATATTTTTTATTGAATTTTTTTTTTCATCATTCAGCACAGTCAATCAGATGTACAATCAAACAGCATGGTTTCTTTCCCAATCAGAAAACTTTCCCAGACAGCACTTTACCAGACAGCACTTTCCCAGACAGAAACTATCAAACAGGACCTAAGTCTGTGGACCACCTCTGTAATTCTAAGAGGTGAAACAAACGGCTGCAGTCCATAATAAGAAGCATGTTTGTTTTTTAACATCTGCAGACTGCTGCAGTAAACTGAAATTTAAATAAACTAATTTTATAAACTTAAAATGGTTCTCAACACCGAAATTTTAATAATTCTAGTCTTAAAACATTGAAAGAATACTAAAAAGAACATGTAAAAAAACAAAAATATAAAACTTTTTAAAAAAAACTTACAAAAATATAAAAGAAGATAACAACTTTATTCTAGAAAAAAAACTAATTTTAAAAAACATAAAAAATAAAAATAATAAAAAATTAAGAAAATATTGCAAACGATGTCTACAAAGTTCGTAAAAAATTACACACGTTAAAAAAAATGAAACTGAAACTGAAAATATTATTAACAGAAACAATAAAAAAACAAGTTAAAAAAATTTGTGAAAAGTATAATAAGAAATTGTATCAAATCCTTAAATAAAAGTTTTAAAAAAATTAAAAATAAGTTATACCAAAATTCTAAAACAAACACTTCAAAAAATTGAAAGTTGAAGAGGCAAGTCAAGTGCTGCGTCACGCAGCCCACGCGCAGAGGTTTTGCAGTCTGAAGTCTTCCAAAACACAAACTGCTGCGAGAGGGAAAGTGTTGCGTGTGTGCTGCGCCGCACAGCAGAAAGTGATTTGAAGAGGTTTTTCTAAAAAAACAAACAACACCTAACTCTCTTGTATAGGTGTCTTCGGCAAAAATAGCTTGTAGCGGGGAAGTGATAGCATTTTGTTAAACCTACATGAAGTAGCATTTGGATTTAGAGTGTTTTGTTTAAACTAAACGCTAGAAGCTTGTAGTGCCAAATAAGACTTTTTGTTCAAAATAAAAAGTTTTGTCAAACGCTAAAAGCTAGAAGCTTTTAAAGTTCTGTATCGAACATGCCTTATATGGTTATTGTCGGTTAAATTGTGAATTCTCATATGGCTATTGTGAGTTACAGTGTGAATTCTCTTAAAACTCAATCCTAACTTATCGTAACATGGCCCATTGTGAACCTATGTAGAATCTCAAATTATGGTTTTTGGGAAGTGCTCGATGATGCAATCCCTAATACATTAATGCCAGGACCGAACTCATATACATTGTCCGATATACCCAAAAGACAAAGGCAGCCAACGAATGCGATGTCTCGTCATTTTTCTTAAGGAGTCGATGCGGAGTTCCATAAATCATCTCATCTCACTACCCTGACAAAAGCTTACCAATTGACAACATTGGCACTCGTTCCTTTTGTCCTTATATAACTATGAAGGCCTCCACCCCACCACATAGGCATGTGAATATAAACCCTAACATCGTCGTCTTTTTTTTTTTTTTCAAAAGTTGAACAATTAGCAACTTTGGTACTCTGTTACTTTTGTTCACATATAACAACTATAAATATGAAACCCCATATTTTGCACAACGTATGTCAGCACAAACCCTAACATCATCTTCTCTATACATTTTATCAGAAACTTTTTTTATATTATCGTTCATTCTTTTTTTGGTAGAAGTTAGAAAACATGCGACTTTAGTACTTGTTCCTTTTGTTCACATCTAACAAATAGATAAATACAAATCCCCATATTATGCAAATGGTACGTGAACACAAACACTAACATGTCTTCCTTGTACCTTTTATCTTGAAACCTCCTTTACTGACCTTAACATCATAACATTTTCTTGTGATACTTCTAATCATTTTCTTGTGGTATCAAGTGTTTGAAAAGATGTCTCTCCATAAAAGGTAGACGGTTCAAGTCCTGTAGTTAATAAAGATGTAGTTTAGGAGTTTGATTTAATAAATGTGTATTAGCCGATCTAAAAAAAAAGTCTATATCCCCTCAAATACATACGTTAGCATCAATGTTGGTGCCTTGGTTGTACATGATCAAAGCTTCCTCTCTCGAAAAATTAGACACATCACGATTGGCACCATCTACGAGCTTGACTGCAAAGGCCCTCACATGAAAATAATCATCGGAAGCAATCACGTTCACATCTCCTTCCTCACGTTCACATCTCCTTCCTCATGGTTTCCACCCAAACATTAACAAAAGTTTTTGGGACTAAGATTGCAAAAGTTATTTAAACTTCGGGACATTTTTGTAGTTTACTCAAATTTAAATTACACTTTCATGGTTTCCGTCACCAGTCCACTGCCACCCCCATCTTCCTCCTAATTGACGTTTGCGTCATAACTCTCTCCCCACTCTCGGTTTCTGGAGGGAAAAAAGTGACGGCAAAACCATCTTCGTCTTCTATAGGTAAATTTTTCTTGATTCGATTAAATTTGATCTCTCTATATCTTCATGTCAATGAACCATTATCTGTACAAGTGACATATCGCAGCCAACAGAATCTTAATTAGGTTTTAATTCCTTTGTTTATACCCCTTTTTTATTTGCCTTTTTCAATTCCGTTTGTCACAGTGATGACGAAAACCCTAATCGATATGTGTTTTTGTTGCATTTGTTGGAGAATTTGTTTCATCTTAAAACCTAAAATTTCTATTTTGGTTTCATAAATATGTGTTTAGGGCCGGCCTGCAAACCAAAAAATTGAAGCTGAAGAAGACGAGGCGTCTGATGCCCTGGGTTCTGGAGAAGACGATTCCAACAAGTATTCGTTGATTGCAAATCTTAATTAAACATACGGTTCTCTCACTCTCAGGTTAAGAAAGTTCTTGATCCTCCTAATTTTCTTCTTTCTGAAAATCTGAACTGCTGAAGTGAAGTTTTCCATTAGTGGTGCCATTACTATTTAGTGTGTCTGTGTTAGGTTTCGACCGATACCAAAAAATTGAAAGATAAGAGATTTTTGTGCCATTTGGTTTGGCGATTTAAGGAATGACTATAGGAATTGAAACTTGCTTTGAGCTTCAATATTTGAATTGGACATCTTATTAGCTTTGGGTGAGCTTAATTGTTGGATTCATTGATGCGACATAGGAATAAGAATGGTGATGTTTTGGTGTCGGACTAAGCAATCACAACTCAGAGCTTTATCAAATCAGTTCAAACGATGCTACTTTCAGAGTCATGGGTCCTCTTCAATCATTAGGGGAACTACAATTGGTGTTCTCAAGGGTCCAAATTCATCCTTTCACAGAACTGGATCTGAGTTTGGCAACTTTGTACGATTCTTTGCTGCACCTGTTCAGGTATTCACTCGCCTATAATCTTACATATGTGATTTATTCTAAGTTTTATGCTGTAGAATACATTATAATATTGATTTAATCCTTTGAATCAACTAAAAGTCCAAATCAATTGACAACTTTATCAAAACTAACCACAACTTAGACTTTTTTTTTGGTTAATCTATATCATGTTGTTTGTTGATTGGGAGATTTGTATTGAAATGGTTTATTAGGTCAAACCGAAATATGATGAGAAGGATAAGGGGCGTCCTCGAATGAATGAACAAATATCTGCCCAGTATGTTAGAATTGTGACAGATGAAGGTATGTCTACTACTAATTCATGTACTTCATACAACTTTCAGAATGTAAAAAGATTGTGTGAAAGTGGCCATATATCTCAATAAGAATGATGTTTACAGTTTACTTGAAGATGTCGTGTCCTATTTAACAATAATTGGTTATGTTAGAATTCATTTTGAAGGTCATATCACTTTACTTTATTATACCATTATTATTTGTTTTATAATCTTTAATTTGCAGGACATGGTGTTGTGTCAAGGCATGAAGCATTGGAGCGTGCAAGGAGACTCAATGTTGATTTAGTTGAGGTATAAATTATAAATAACTGTTATATATAGTTTTTAATTTTTTAACATTTTGGATATTTAATTATATATTTGAATATTTTTTTGCAGGTTCAACCAGATGGTAACCCACCTGTTTGCAAACTCATGGACTATAACAGGGAAATGTACTTAAGACAAGCAAAGGAAAAAGAACAAACAAAAAAGAAGGTAAGGGCTTCCCCTAATATAAAACACTGCCATTATCAATACATTGCTTTTTGTTGTTTTTAACTTTTTTTTTTTTTTTAAATTTTTTTGCAGTCTGACTTGGTTTTGCGTAAAGGAGGTTTGAAAGAAGTTCGAATTACTTGTAAAATTGTAAGTTCCTTCCCTTCCTTAGATGCTCTTCTGCTCTTGTTTAAACAAACCCTATGCATAATTTTTCTCAAAAATATTAATACAGAAACTGAAGTGATTTTGTTTTTGTAGGATAAAAATGATTTGCAAACAAAAGCAGATGCAATTAAGCGATTAGCTGAACGTGGTCATCGAATCAAGGTATCTACTTTTATTATACCAATTAACAAATGTGATAAAATTTTATAAAAAAACATTGTTTGTTTATGTTTTTGTTATCCAGTGTATGGCAGTGGGTACTGAAGATCAGGATTTGGGAGGATTGCTATCACGTCTTTCTGCTCTGGTATGCACATTTTCATCTTTTTTTCCCATTAATTGAAATTGATTTTTAAAAAAGGGAATAAATAAATAAATAGTTTTTGTTTTTGTTTTTGTTTTTGTTCAACAGATTGATGATTTTTCTCTAGTGGAAAGTGGGCCTAGAGTGGAGTCAAAACAAGCATATGTTGTTGTCCGACATGTAAAATTTGGGCCATTGAAGAAAGGTCCAGGTAAAAAGAAGGTTTTAGCAACATCAAACACTGAAACACCAGACCAAGACGAATCTGGTTCAGAAACCGAGGAAGATACGCTTTCTCAAGACCCAATCGAATCAGTAGATGATTTTGAAAACAAAAATTATGATGACACCATGAAACTTGCATCATCATCATCATCAAACAGGTATGCATCTGCTGCCACAAGGCCAACAAATGTAAATGTTCCAGAAAATAGGTATGCAGCACCTGGTGGTGTAAGAAGACAATTTGAACCGGAAAGTGGCGGCAATCGGCGGCAGGGTGGAAGTGAACCTGAGACCGCCAGTAGACTGGTGGAGGTAAATAGGTACAAGAAAGGACCAACCCCACCACCAGATTATCAGATAAACAGGGGCCCACGAGGAGATTTTAGGGAGAAACAAGCTGGTTTTAGAAGATAAATATACAAGAGGATCAAGTTTAACACGGTTTTGTAGGAGAAACTTTGAAATTATTTTTATAAAATGCAGCCGTTATATGCATTTCTGGCTGCTATTTAATTTATTGTATTGTTGTAATATGGGAGGCACTATGCAATGCATTATTAAACGATTAAAGCAACAGGATTGAATTGGATTGGATTTATATTTATATAAAAAATGAATGGTAATTTCTCAAACATAATGAAAAGGAAACAGGGATTTTAACAGCAATAAATATGAAAGTACAAAGGCTCTGAATGTGGTACTAGTGTTTATTATGAAGTTGAAATTGAAATGTGTATCCCTCATATTTCCATACTTTATGTTTTTTTAATTAATCTTTTGATGCTTTCTCTGTAGTGCTTGCGTTGTGTTGTGAATTTAAACCATTAAATACTAAAATTTAACCCTCTAAAACTCTGTCGGTTTGGTGAGGTGAGGGTGAGGGTGAGGGTGACAGATCTTTGAGTTTGAGTAGTTCCTCAAAGACCTCAGTTGACTTCTTCCTTCTTCTGAAAGCAGCCCATTTCATAAACTTTTTGCTATCAGGAATCCCTTCATCGCCACTTAACATCCTATAAACCTGCATTGCATTACCAACACATCAATTTGTTTTACCCATTTTTTGCAATTTTGGTCCTTATTCAATGAGCTTTTCTTTCCCTATTGCAAGTAATGTAATACTAAGGACCAAAACTGCAGAAATCACTATACTTAGGGACCAAAGATGTAATTTACTTTTTTATGCAAAATGTTACCTACTCTACCTGACTCATTTTTGGACGTTCAGTTGGACAGTCACTGATGCATTGAGAAGCAATCCATAGCATGTCGCTCAGCTGCTCCAACTCACACTCACCATCAAGATGTGGATCAACAAGTTTCTCAATGTGTTTATTATGTATTAAAGGTCTAGCCTGCAAAAAAAAAAAAAAAAAAACAATTAATAATTCTTTATTTTTATTAAACAAAAAAAAGTAGTTGTTATTTGTCGCATTAAGAAAAGAATAAATACATACCCACATAACGAGACTCTTCTGTGACTCATCCAAAGCAGGGCGTCCAGTTATGATCTCTAACAGAAGGACTCCATAAGCATACACGTCAGTTTTCTCATCCACCAACCCATTCATGAAAACCTCAGGAGCAAGGTACCTGTACTTGTTTAATTTCAACTTATATAAACAAATTAAAAAAAATAATCATTAATTAAATAATATATATACCCAAATGTCCCTTCAAACTGTGACACGTTGAGGTGACTCCATTGATCTGGAAGCCATTTCGCCAGCCCAAAATCAGCAATCTATGATAAAAAAGAATACAAGTTTGTTAGAGAGTAAATTACAAAAAAGTAATTCCAAATTAAATATGTTTTTCTTTTTTATTATTATAATAAAGTCAGAAGGATTACCCGAGGTTCAAAATCCTCCGAAAGTAAAATATTAGCTGCCTTGATATCTCTATGAATGATTCTTCTTTGACAACCTTCATGAAGATAAGAAAGCCCAGATGCAGTGCCCAATGCAATGTTATATCTAATCCTCCAGTCAAGTTTCTCTTTATGATCTGAAATAGTTCTAAAACAACTTTTCATCAAAAGATATTACTAAACAAGAATAATCACATAATGAAAAATGTAATTCAAAAACTAACCAGAAAGAAGAGAAGCTAAGCTCCCATGGTGTGATAAAGGAAGAACAAGGTACATCCCCCCCTCAATTCCATACCCAATAACATTAGAAATATTTTGGTGATTGACATGAACAAGAATTCCAAGTTCAGATAAAAAATCTGATGTCATCTCTTCTTGTGTACCTCTGATTAATCTTTTCACTGCTATAATTTGTCCATCTTGTAAATGACCCTTGTAGACTTCAGAATAACCTCCTTCTCCAATTAAGTTATCTTTAAAAATATCATAGATTAGTAAAGAAAGAATGTTAACTAAAAAAAGGAATTTGTTTTCATTATTTAAAGTTGTACAAACCATGACTAAAGTTGTCAGTTGCATCTTTGATTTCTGAGAGTGAGTAAATTGTCCATGAAGCTTCAAAACAATACAAATTGGGATCAAAACTGTTAGGAATTTCTGACATGCTTTGAGTGTGTTTCCTACTCGGTTTTTTCTTGGTTCTTTTAATGGAAGGTAGGCTAGGGAGGCAAGGATTGAAAGACAGCAAGCTTGCTGAGGGCCCTTTTGTCAATTTTCTTAAGAATCCACCACACCATTGTTGGGGATGACTTTTTGGATCAATTTGAGATACTAAATCTAAAATCCCAAATCTGAAAGATGATGAACTTGAAGTTGATGCAACAATCTCCTTAGGTGATGCTGGTTCAGATTCATATTTCTCATCAGTTTCCTCTAGTGTTGACTTGTCACAATCACAATTCTCATCATCCTTATCTACAAAGCTAAATTCTAGCAATTAGTGTTATAGAAAATGCAGTCAATGGTGGAATTTTTTTATACCTTCAGCAGAAACAGAAACTGTAGAATCAGAGGGAAGAAGTTTCTGATTTTCTACTGCAGATGTAACAGCTTCATTCTTTTCGTCTTCAGCCATTCCTTACTGAAAATCAACATGATAAAAGCATATATAAAACTGAATATGAGATCAAGTGACAGAACATGTGGAGATTGGAGAAGCTTCATGTTTGCATGGAAGGTGAACAAATCCACAGGCATCATTCGCTATATATTTAAAATAAACTCTATATGTACCCTATCAAACATAACCTAAATCATAAAATGCGAGATTGGCCAATTCGAAGATGATGAAAACACGATAATTCTAACGAGGGTTTTCAATGATGATGAAATCGAATTGAACAGACGATCGATTAACGAAGAAAAACACATGAAATTTCTTCTACGATAACAAAAGCTGGTTAATGAAATTAGGATTTATAGAAGAGAGATACCTTGAGAAATCTGAAGAAATGCGTATGAAGATTTAGAAAGATACAAGAAGCAGAACCCTCCATCTGACGATGGACAAAAAAAAGAGAGAGACGGAGATCGGGGATATGGAGGAGACATGGTGAAAATGAAATAGTGGTAGCCATGGGAGCTGTGTTTTGTTTACATATTTCAATGGATTTCCATGCCCCACAGAAGCCACCCTTCCCGCCTCATGAACATATTCACAAAATCGCCCATCAAGTATTTCTCAATATTCAACTTTAGTCTTCTAACAATTTTGTTTTACATTTAGGTCTCGATCCCTAAACGGGTGTTACAAATTCTTGTTAGAAGGTTTACAAATTCCGGATCTTTTGATCATGAAGCATGTTGTTCCCTGTTGCATGACTCGGACTACAAGTTATGATAAAAAAATATTTCGAATTGTCTTGAGGATCAAGTGTCATCTTCAGAATATCATTGGTATACTCTTACTCTTCATTTAATATTTAACTTTGGGAATAATTTTATAAAAAAAATGAGATTTATTATAAAATAAATGTTGTAAAAAAATTAATTTAACATTTGTATTCTATTTTGAGAAACCCACCATATGCTTTTGAAGAATCAAAGCGACAATTTCTATTAAAAAAATCAAATATAAAATGAACGACATTGTTTTACTTAATTTTGGTGTTTAATATAAAACCATATAATCAATGTCGTTAAACATTAGAGTTATGCTTTTAACTATTGTATCAATTTTAACATGATAAACCAGTAAATGGTAATAAATCTCATGTTGCATCCTGCATGGCAAAATTTGTTGACATTTACTTTAACATGATTTATCAGGTTAAAAGTAATAACAATATAGTGAAATTAAAATAAAAGCTAAATGTTTAATGACCTACAATACAATTGAGTAAAACTAAACAATAAATAACTTAAAAACAGCAAAATAACAATATAATCCTTCTTTTAATGGACGTTACGACTAATTAATCCCTCAAAAATAGCATAAAGGTCCTTGTTTTCCGGGCCAAAAATATCATCTGCCTTCCTTAAAGTATCCTATAAAATCACAAAATAAAAACAATGAATGGTTTGAGGGCATTTTTGGGTGAACAAATTACAAAGTCAAGAAAGCTTATGTTTACACTTTAAACATACCTCCTTTGTTTGCTTGTGTGAGTTTAATTCCTTCACATTTGCTAAAAATGCACCAAATTGCTCATATGATAATCTGCCCCTAATAAAAGTAACAAAGAAACCAGTGATAGATGATTGATTAATGAAAGAACGAACTGAATGGCGAACAATGCAAATGAGGGGCATATATGTAATTTTACCTCACTTGTCTGAAAAATTCTTTCCCATCCACTCGAGTGCGTCCTGCAACAAGCCAAGAAGCACAAGTAGTGCTCATAATTAGTTATAACTTATAAGGTAATTAATCTTGAGTGAAATTTAATGCAAACACAAAGGCATATAGTATTATGTAGAGATCCAGTAACATATTGACACCTGTCATGGAGCTGTATGGGGTTGAGGTTGTAGATGAAAAGACAGAAGATCTATGATCATCAGACATACTTCTTGTGGTTGAAAAAGAAATAGACTGCTTTCTTGTTGGAGATCCAGATGTTGATAGGCTTGGAGGAGATCCAGGAGGTGTTAACCGAGGTGTGCTTGTTTGGGATGCTAAAAACATGCCTGGTGAAATGTGGGCCCTACTCGATGCTGATAAGAGAAACCCAAATGTAAATTTCCAATTTTACCCCAAGTGATAGAATACCAATCAAAAGAATTCTCACCATCTGTCACAGGCTCATCGATTGGTGAAGCATTTGAAGGTTGCTCAGTTTCAGTTTCTTCATCTTCTGAAACACATTACGTTCTTTTTTAGAATACAAATTAATGAAGTGAAACTAGAAATTAAATAAACCTCCAGCAAACGATTGAGATGATATGCTTGAAGTGACTGGTGCAACAATTGGAGTGTTCCTTGCCTGTAAGTCATGTGTCAAATTGTAACAAAACTAGACTTCAAACCATATAAACAATCTTTGATCTACCCGAAATCTTAAAAGAAGCAACTCACTGAACTTCCTTCTTCATCTTGAAGGGACATCATGAGTGTCTTCCTGAAGCTCTGCAACTGAATGACTTACAAGAGTAAGAATTAAGTTTACAACTTAACTAGGAACTGAAGAACTACATATTGGTTTCACATTTCTACAAACTGCTCAGGGAACAATTAAGAATCAAAAGTATCATTCGTCAAAATGTTACAACCCCAAACTTCATGAACACTAGGTTTTCGAATTACCTTAGCAACATCACGGTTGAGCTTTTTAACTTGTTCCGATAGCGACGCATTCTCGTTCAATAGATTTTCCTAACAATGCTCATAGAAAATTTATTCATCATCACAGAAAAATTGTGAGGCAATGAACTACGAAAGACAATAAGGGGAAAAGACAACAGTTGGAGTATGTATGGAACTGACTTTCTCTTGATCAGCGCGGGAAAGTTTGTCCAGAACGTCAGAGAGAGAAGAGTTGAGAGAGTCCATCTGAGTCTGCAGGTCTTCGACAACGAGTTCCCTGTCCATAAGCTCGTCGCGGAGGACGGATGACTCCGATTCAAGGGCGGAGATTCGAGTGAAAAGCGCAATGGAAGTGATTTTGCGAGCGAAATCGAGCTGTTCAAATGGATCGGAAGGTAGCACTTCCAACACCTCTTGTGGAAGATCGAAGGTCATACCCACAGATTCTTTTGGCAACATGTTCGTCGTTCCTTTCAGTTGCAGAAATTGTAGTTTGAAGAAGGTGAAGAGTCTTAAACCAGAGGCTGAAATGGGAAGAATTAGATAAGGAGGTATTTATACAAGTTGGAATTTCATTTTAGCTAGCAACAAAATAAAATTATATAATTTTTTCGATTAGTCTATGTTGTTTGTCGGAACTCATTAGAACACCTGTAGTTTTAAATTTTTACATGATTGCTTGTGATGGTTTTATTTTGCCTAAAATTTGATTTAAAAGAACTATTTTACTCTTTTAACAAAATTTAGTAGTTAGTCTTTGTGTTGTGGTTTTTTTTTTTTCAAAATATTTTTATGAAATTTTTGCTTGCACAAATGATCTTTAATTTTCGATGTTGTAACACCATTTATGAGTAACTATGTTAACAAATTTTGTTAATTTTTTTTTGGGAAATGATGAATAATATAACCTATATAAATGAGTTTTTTCTTTCTTTCTTTTTTTAAATAATTATATTTTTTTTTTATTTTTTAAAAAATAAAAGCTTTTTTCAAATATCTTGTTCTAGACTATTGTTCATATTTCAGATTACTTAAAATTTTTTTTTCTAAAGAATGCTTAATTTCGGGTTTGATCTTCAAATTCCAGAGTTATTATTTGTTTTTTTTTCAATTCTTTTTGAAAGAAATGTCTCCACTTATGTCCGCGATGTCAAGTTCCAAGTATTTAATATCACAATTTTACAATAAAATGTCTAATTTTAAACATTAATATCGTATATAGTTTATATTTATTATGTTTGTTTAACTTTTTATTAGATTTAAATAAAACGATTTTTTGTTTTGAAATTCCAGAATTGTTAATCGGATTTCGAACCTGTTCTATCCAAACTTCCAGATTCTTGGAATGTTTGTCCGGAATGATAGTTCGAAATATATTTTTTGTCAGAAAAAATGTTTTTTTCTTGGTCTGAATTGCCCTGTAACGCCTGGTTTCTGGTATAAATTTATTCCCAATTATTGCATTTTCTTGGGGGACTCGTCGAGTTGGAAGCCTCAACTCGACGTGTCGAAGTTGTTTTGGCCGCGAAATTTAATGAGTCAACTCGACGAGTTGAGATGTCTCAACTCGGCGAGTTGGCAGCTGGGAAAGAAACTTTAAATTTAGGGTTTTGCACCCTATTTAAACACCTTAAGTCCTAGGTGTTGGCCTCATTTCCAACCTCCATAGCCCCTAACCCTAATCTCGAAACACTAGAACCTCCTTGAGTGTTGTGAGCTCATTGTGGGTGTATTTTGGTGTGGTTGAAGCTCATTGAAGGAAGAGAAGCTTGGTGCAAGGTGGTGGTTCAAGTTGGAGCTTTCAGATCTTGATTCTCTGCTCCATTTCCAGCACATTTCGGGTATAAAGTTCTAACCTTGCTTAATATTGGCTTAGATCTCTTTTTGGGTTAGTTTGTATGATTTTAGCCATGTTTGGGTGGTTGATGGGGGTGTAGGACGTCCCAAGTGCTATTCTTTCAGATCTATGATCTTCATGAGCTCTTTTGGCATAAAGGTGCCAACTTTATGGTATTAAGGGCTTCATGCATTTATTAAGTCCTTCTTATGACTTCTTTTGAGCATTTGAGCTTCTCCTAGTCATGCATGAGTGCAAAGTTGGAAACTTTACGTAGTCTTTCAGGTTTTAGGGTCAGATCTGCAGTTTGGGGTTATGCCTTTGGTGATTAAATGCTTAATGATTAAGTCCTTACCCCTCTTTTAAGCCTAGGGTTTGGGTTTTGAACCCATTTTGGTGGTTCTTAGGGGTAAAGTTGGAAACTTTACCCTTCTTGAGGTAATTTCAGTTAAGATCTGAGCTGTGAAGCTCTTAATTTTGATAAGGACGACTTAATGAATTAAGATGTTGGATTTCTGGCGAACTCGACGAGTTTATGGGTGAACTCGGCGAGTTGGATCGGTTTTTTCCCGACTTTGCAGACTAATGGATAAACTCGGCGAGTTGAAGGACAACTCGGCGAGTTGGGTCAACTCGGATCGTTGACTTTGACTTTGACTTTAGTCTTTGACTAAGTTTGATCTATAAGGGGCTTTTGGGCATTTTGTGTTGTACTTAAGAAAATCTTTTATGTTTAGGGGTTGAGTAGAGTCGATATTCAGAGCCGGGATCCGTTCAGCTACCTTTCTGCATTCGAGGTGAGTTTCCTTACCGGGTTTAGCGAGTCGAAGGCACTAATGCCAACCCATGTTAATGTTATGTTGTTAGTATGCTAGTTGTGTTTGTGACTCTTGCATGTGCCTATGTTTATGTACTTTTCCGGGCTAAGGCCCGATGCCGGGCGGGGCCTGATGGATATTTGTATGCTATGTGATTATTGCATGTATATGTGATTATTTGATATATGTTAGTGTATGTTGGGCGGGGCCCGTTTACCGAGCTCAGCTCGATGCCGGGCGGGGCCCACTATATGTTTACTGTATGTTCATTGTATGGCTGTTATGTGGTATTTTGGGGAGACTCACTAAGCTTTGTGCTTACCGTTTTAGTTCATGTTTCAGGTACTTTCGATTGTAAGGGAAGAGATCGGGATGACTACATCGCACACACCGTTGGGATTCCGCTTATGATGTTTACTTTTATTTTATGACAAAATGATACATTGGGTTTTATTTAAAATGTTTGGATGTTATTGGAAAATACTATTTTATCTATTATTAAAATGAAATTATTGGGACCATATTTTTGGATGTTATAAGTTGGTATCAGAGCCTTGGTTTGAGGGATTCGGGCACACTCTCGGGTGTGTCTAAACTCAAATTAAGGACTTGGTAGAAATTTTCAAAAGAAAATGTAACATCCCAAATTTTGAGACCAAAAATTTCGTTTTAATTAAGTAATTTATAAAACTGTTTACTGAAAACATCATCAATATCATATCAAACCCACAAACCCATAAGCCAATTGTGATAAAACATGTCATGGAATAATAATGTCATAGTACAATCCCAAGAGCTTCATGGTGCGGAAAATAATGGTGTGATGTGCTGCTACGTAGCCGACTCCTTTCCCTTCGAAGAAGAAGGACTTGAAACAAAAACTGTAAACCGTAAGCACAAAGCTTAGTGAGTTCCCCCATCATACCATATACCAATTTATAAACATATTTCCAGGCATATCTGGGTGCCCGACCTACCTTGCTGAGCATACCGGGGTGCTCAACCTACCCCCGCTAGGCATACTAGGGTGCCTAACCTACCCCATGTCAGGCATATATGGGTGCCCGACCTACCCTTCGGTGTATCTCAACCGGTTACAGGGACTATTTCACCCCTACCACTACCACATAACAACATAATATAAACATATTGTCAGGCATACCGGGGTGCCCGACCTACCCCTTGGGTCCTTTTGCCCTGATAAGGGGACTATTCCCCTTACTACCACTATCACATGACGTCATGCCAGGCTAGCATATAAAACATAACAGATAGTGGCAAACCCAAATAACTATCACAAAGACAGTTATCTGACATACAACTCCTACTAGTGGGCCGTTATTGTGGTCGTAGACCCACTTCTACTGGAAGGTAACTCACCTCAATGTCGTGTAGTAACTGAACTGTCCTCGGTGTTGGGATCAACTCTCCTCAAACTCCTACACATAACAGCCTCCTTTAGTTACTCATTCCTATTCACATCCCATTTAAGGGTCAATCTTGGGTAATGGTCAAAGTCAAAGTCAAAATCAACACCCTGGTCAAAGTCAACATCCTGGTTGACTCAACTCACCGAGTTGGTCCATCAACTCGTTTAATTCCATAATTCAGAAAATTTCGAATTCACGATCTGACTCGTCGAGTTACCCTCTAACTCGTCGAGTTTCTCCTTATGACAGAATCGGGACTTTCCATTTGAACTCGTCGAGTCCTTCCTTGGACTCATCGAGTTCTCCTTCATACAGTCGGGACATTTGCTCATTGACTCGACGAGTTCATCCTTGGACTCGTCGAGTTCTTGACCTATAAGTCTAAAACTGTAACGCCCGGGTTTCGGAGCTAAGCATTTTTGGGCGATGTAATAGTCTAGGTCAACTATTGTAACTCTTTTTGAAGTAATAAAGATGAAATATTTGAATACTATGTGAATTATGTGTATTTGTGTGCTTATAATTTAATTATAAAGGTATAATTAATAAAGAATAAAAATAAGCGTCAAAATTAAAGTGTGAGATAAGCCCGATATCTTTACATAAAGTTGTAGTGGTCGAAACAAGGATTTCGGGGATATAAAGAACGCCGAAATCCGAGTTATAACGAGGAAATTATGACCCCTCGAAGTTTCACGACGGAACCGGCGCGACACCGGGAAGCGTAAATAGTGAATTTATGATAGAGGGACTTTTAGCCTTAGCGATCTAAACGAAAGTCGTAGAATATGTTAAACCGAGAGCGTCCATAAAAAGAACGCCCAAATCTGACTTCGTATGAGGAAGTTATGATTTTTCGAAGTTTCGGCTTAGCAGTGTACAGCCCGAAGTTCGAATACTAGATCGAGCAGTTTTTAACCGGCACAACCTAAACGAGAATCGAAGATCTCGTTAATAGTAGCATAACGATAAAAATACATACGAAAACGGACGTCGGATGAAGAAGTTATGAATTTTTAACAGACCAATCCTGTCCCGGCCTGTTAAAAATATAACTTTTAAAATAAAGTAAAAATTAGCCGACGGAGTCTAAATGAAAGTTGTAGAGTACGTTCCTGCCTACGTGTGGATATAAAGAACGTCGAAAACGGAGCTCGTATGCGAAAGTTATGAATTTTAGAAGTCGGGATGTGAATCTGCGAGATAAGATGACATGGCATGATCCCAGCCTTCCCTTGCTCCCCACGGTCTCGCATCCGATGAACGACGCGTCACCCTTCGCTACGCCCCGCGTCCGAGAACGAGTACGCCCCGCGTACTCCGGTCTTATCTGGTTCCGATACGAGCCACGTGCGAGACAGTTGGATGCGAGCTGCCCCCCCCCCCCCCCTATCCGAACTACGCCCAGCGTACGGTCCGAAGTCCAGCCCTATAAATACCATGCGAAATGTTCCGGATTTCTCACTCATTTCTTCAT